CCGCCCAGCCCCGTCGGCGACGGCATCGACACCGACACCTGCGCCCACACACACTTAAATAATCAAAAAGTCGTCCGTTCTATGCGCATAATTTATGTAAAATGTAAGAGTGTATTGTAATCTATGTTTAGTGGCAACATAACGAAATTGGATTTTGGAAATGTTTGCTAAAGTCAGTTTATATTTTTGCAGCCATTGATTATCGTCATAGTAATCAAACGGTAATTTGTTTCATCATTTTTCAGCATTGCCGCCGTGGCGGTGAGCGAGGAGAGAGGTGAGAGGAAAGAGGTGAGAAGCCAGGAGAGGAGGGGCGAGGAGGAAGGGAGGAGACAGGAGAGAAGTGAGAAGTGAGTTGAGCGGTACCTGTCCGTTGCTCTGGACCTCTATCTTGTATCCGGGGGGCAGGAAGGTGTTGAAGCCGACGATGAGCTCGGGGTGGCCCTTGAAGAGGTTGGAGACGCGCTTGATGACGCCCGGCGTGTCGATGCTACAATAATGGCTACTGTTCAACAAAGGAGGCGCGGCTAGTCTCGGAACGCCCACACACAAACCACGTCAGATTAAAATAATGCAGCCATTGGTTATTGTCAAAGAAGTCAAACGGTAATTTGTTTCATCATTATAATGAGATATAAGCGACAAATCTTGGATATGTCGTAATGTCTATTACGGCAATTAATTCTTACTTTTGTTAGCAATTTTTCAAAGATAACATTATATTGTGACAGACGAATATATATGTGGAATAACTTATTTAGGCAGTGATCGAGATGGACCAAAATGTAAAGTGAAAACGGCGTTGTAATTAGTGTAGCCTTTACGCACAAATTCGCACATATTATATACCAAACAGAAAAACAGACAAAAAAATCTTAACAGTTATTATTCTCGGTCGAGTTCTAGGTTGTTGAATAAGTACTATATTATGAATGAATTATGAATACAAGAGCACCGAGATACACTTACGTCTGGCTCTTAAACTCCTTCATGATGTCAAGGAAGTCGTTGTAGACCTGCGGCTGCGTGCTGAACTTGAACTTGACCTGGTCCAGGTACGAGAGCGCGTCCTCCACCTTCAGCCGCTGGAACTGCGCGACGGGCGCGCCCGGGCCC